GACCTCACGAAGGCTTTCGACTACGTGGACCATGACGCTATGCTCTCAGAACTCGCCGACACACAATGTGGCTCGCATATGTATAATTATGTCCGGAACTTTCTTCGATCGCGTACGCTCTCAATTCAAATCGGCGAACACAAGCTCGACGCGGTCCCTCACCCACAGAGAGGCATCCCTCAGGGAGCGGTCCTGTCTCCAACATTATTCAATCTCGCTATGCGCCGTATCCACCGCGCCCTCCAACCCCTCCCTGACATTCGGTACTCTCTATACGCTGACGACGTCACTATCTGGATCAATCGAGGCAGTCCTGGTCACATCCAGGATTCTCTTCAAGCCGCCCTCGAAGCTGTTCATCACGCAGCCCGCACTATTGGTCTCGCTTGCTCGGTCGAGAAAACTTCCCTGCTCCTCATCCACTCTCGCCACTGGCATCCCCCTCAAGTGACCCTTCAGCATGACACCCACATCATTCGCCCACAAAAGTCCCTCAAAGTCTTGGGCCTTCATATACAATCCGATGGGGGAGGCACTACTGCCGTACAGAACATCTTACGCCAGGCTGCACCCATCCTCAACATGATGCGCCGTGTTACCACACGCACCAGGGGGCTCAAAGAACAAGACCTCCTTAGACTTCGCGATGCCCTCATAATTTCCCGCATTCAGTATCAAGCTCCCTACGTATCCCTCACACGTACTTCAGAACGCAAGCTCGACGCTCTTATTCGTAAGGCGACTAAGATCGCCCTCGGGCTCCCCCTAACCACTAGCACCACTCGACTGGTTCAACTGGGCGTACTACCTACGGTCTCCGACATTATTGACATGCATCGCATACATCAGCGTGAACGACTCTCGCTAACTCCAACAGGTCGCCTCATCCTGCACGAACTCGGCTATACACCCCATCCAACCGGACCTCAACCCACTCCCCTAGACAACACGATTCTCCAACATATTACCGTGGCCCCGATTCCCCGCCACATGGACAGGGATCGAAATCCCACTCGCCGTCTTCTCCGTGCGGCATACTACACGAGGAAAATCTCCCGAGATCCCGAATCTCATCACGTATTCACCGATGCAGCCTTAAAAGACACCCTTGGTGCATTCGCGTACATCACTTCACGCGGCACTGAACACTCGGAAACGCAGCGCTGCGCTTCCCCGGTCGAAGCAGAACTTCTCGCCATTGCACTTGCTGCTGCCAACAACTCTTCCCCTGGCCGTACCACCCACATCTACACGGACTCAAAGTCGGCCTGCTCCCACCTCGCTCAGGGCCTCGCATTCCCTTCTGCACTTCCTCTCCTCAACGATGTTAGAGGACCTCTTCATATCCACTGGATACCTGGTCACGCTGGCGTTGCCGGGAATGAACGCGCTCATCAGCTTGCCCGCGAAACGCTCCTCCGGGCCCCTGCTGACGCTTGTGACACAGCCCCTGTTCCTCCTCCTCCCCTCCCCACCCTAGCCGACCTTCTCGCCTCTCGTTGTACCTTTCCTCCGCCCCACACCCAGCTCACTCGTCGTGAGCAAACACTCATTCGGCAGGCACAAACATACACACTTCTCACACCCGCTCGACTCCACCTATTTCGCCGCTCCTTAGGTGACCCTCTCCCTCTTTGTTCCCGCTGTCTCACCCCTTCCGACCAGGACCACTTACTGTGGGACTGCCCCCATAACCCGGCACAACCACACACTTACACCCGGGAGTGGCTGGCTCTTGCGGTCAGCCTCGAACAACAACGGGAACTGGCGGCCCACATCAACAGGGCCCTCAGCGGCTGCCTGGACTGAGGCGGCTGAATCATCCCCACCATCATTTTTTGAATAAAGTTTCTATCTATCTATCTATCGGTCCTAAGAAGTCGCAAGAGGCTTAAAAACCGGTCTGGTCTCTCTCGGTCGTACTCGGTTGCAAGAGTGTGAACGGGCCTTTACTCCTACTCCGACGCTCCGATTTACAAACGAGAGCAGTAACTAAACGGAGAACAGCGTACAGAAGCGCGACACACGGAAATTATCAACTAGTCGCACGCCGCTTCTGGCAGTTCGGTTATGATACGCTGCCGTGGATAAGGGTGGCACAAGCTGAAATTATTTTTAAAATGAATTAATTTAACATAATAAGTTCGGTGACGCTATGAAGTGTCTTCTAATGTATTAATACTCCCGAAAGTTTTAAAGACTCGCTTCAAGCACAGAGGCAGATAGTTGCTGTGGCTGATTTATTGATTTCCTATCCTGCCCAGACTAAAAAGTAAAAATTAAAAAAAAAATATTTAGGGCTAATTTGTTGACTCAGGAGTCTGACAAACGTATCAGGGTAGTTTTGCTGCTCCAGTTTGCAGCTCGATGGCAAGGCCCATCGATGTGCCATCGGCACACCCTTTCAATAGACCGCACGTTAACTCGTTTTTGAGCAAAATAGAAACAAACCTTTTCGGTAATGCTAGGGTTGTTTCGGCCTCTGAATCGAATCGTCTGGAGTTGTAAAACTGAACACTAATAATAATAATAATAATAATAATAATATATATATATATATATATATATATATATATATATATATATATATATATATATATATATATATATATATATATATATATATATATATATATATAAACAGTCAGAGCGGTGGCATTGAGGATGACGCAAGCATCTGAAACCTTATGCCGTCACGACGCAGGTATTCTCTTTATTTTTTTTTAGCTTCGTCATTCACCGAGCCGTCTCAATAGTTTGCCGTGATTGGCCCTCATATACTGCTTTCCGTGGAAAGTAAATGCGCTCAAGTTTAGAGTGATTATTTCAACTTCCATGAGATAATCGTAACTTTAGCACACGCTTACCGAAAAACCGTCCCACGGCCGATAACTCCAGACGACGTACGTCTCACTAAGTTTCAATAAATTTTGAAATTCTCGGAAATTAATTGTTTTCAATACTGATAAAAAGTTAATGAACTGACCATAAGCAAAACACATATATATATATATATATATAAATACCCGTCGTTTCACCACACGTTCTTTGTCTCCCGACTTTATCCGTACATATTAACGTACATTTTGTTTCTTATAGTTCTCATACGTATAAATATCAGCCAGCACGTTCCAAGCAAGCTACGGAGCGGCAAAAGGCCAATTTACGATCCCGGCTGCCACCTATATTTCTCGGGAGCTAGAAGCCAGGCCACCGGCGACAGCCTAAAGATAGGCCAAAGGACCGACGCCCGCGAAATGTGCTCGGGCCAAAAACGAAGATGTGGCCCGAACCGGCGGATGGCCCGCCGGGGCGCGTGGCCCCAGTGAACGACGTGTCTTTTTCTCGTTGTCTGGCCGTGTAGCCTTGGAACTGACGCTACGCTGGGGGAGCCTATTCTTAGCCTGGACCCGCCAAAACAGCAGAGGTGGCGCGCGCAATTAGCGTTATTTTATTGAAGGGTCGTGCAGTTTTGAATTGCTCCTGGGTGAGTTGGTCTTCGACCTCCTAAAGCGGGACGAGAGTTATACACGTGCAACCGGTGCGTGTCCTTCACTGGAACCGTTTGGCACGCAATGGCTTATTTTTACTCTTTCAGCTCTCCGTACGTAAATGCCTAAGTTAGGTTCGAAGAAACTCTGAAATACGTTCCCAGCTTAAACGGACTATGAAACAGAAACTGGGAGTTCAGAATCGCGAGGCGCATTGCTGTTGACAACGTCATGCCAAAAGAAAAGGTTCATAATGACGCCATGTGACGCCTGAGAGGCAAAGCGACTATTGGAAGTAGCGTTTCGTTAGTATTGTTCAAGCTCTCGCAAGCTCGAGTACGCAGTTTAGATGTCGCTAGGAGATATCCTTTTTTCGTTCGATTCGTGAAAGCGTAAAGTTTTTCCGTGGGAAAACAAAATGCGCAGTTGAAAAAGGCGGACAAAAACAAAAACAAAACATAAACAAAACAACAACAACAACAACGAATTTGAGCTTTGTAAATGCAGCGCTTGTGATAAAAAGTGACCCCTGTTCGAAAATTTATAAACGCGTGGAGGATTTATACTGAGCACACGTTATTAAAAAAAAGGTCAGTTCCTTTGCTATTTTCTGAAAGTGTGAGGACGTGAGCTTCGTAAATGCAATACATATAAAAAAAGAACTAAAACAACTGACGCCTTTTTTATGATTTATACACGTAGATCATTTACACTGAGGACACGTTATATATCTCTATATATATATAAAGGTAGCTCTTTTGGTATTTTCTAAAGTCGTGATAAATGCATAGCGTTTAAACACCTTTGCTCACGCGTCCTTTCAAAATCAGTCTGTCGCACATATTACATGCTTCATCAAACGGATTGTGTGTGAATTGGCACATGAGCTGGCACTTGAACTGCCGGTCGGCTGCTGTGTAATGTCAAGTGGCTTCCTCTAGCTGTTGGGCACGACGCTCTCCTTTTGCAGTCGCGTCACCTGCATCTTCTTCTTCACCCTGCTGCACCCGCCGCTTTCGCTCCCGTGCCTTTTAGGTGATACACGAAATCCGCAAGCGGGATCGTTTATAACGAGTGTACTCCACGTTGGTACTGCCGAACGCAGACCTTGGAAAGTCCACGCTGTAATTAAAGACGCCGATTACGCGCAGCTCTATGTTGCACGACCTACAGAGGGTACATTCCAGGCTTCAACACGATAACGCCAGAGCTCGCCCTACAAATGCTACACATTAAAAAAAATAACAGCGTAGTTTTATGCTCGTGGAAATGGCGCATGCTGAAGAAGTTACGATGTTGAAAGAGAATTACATAAACGACGATGGCCGGTCGACACGTATCATCCGGTCCTCGTCATTTATGTAATTCTCCTCTAATACCGTAGTTTTATGGTCTATTAAAGAAATCAGCATACCTCATAAGCTTAGCTAAAAAGGCGCTGGCTAGTTTACTAATTTACACAAAAAAAAGTTGCATGACGAAATAAGGATGGATAGCCATACTGATCACCTCCTGTAGGACGCCAGCGATGCGGTCTTGCGGCAGGTCGATGATGAAGTTCCTGTAGCCGGACTCCTTGATCTCGTCCCAGACGGTCTTGGGCTCCTGGATGGCGTCGTCTTCCCCGGCGTCAGTCTGCCTCCTTCTGCGGCGGTCCGCCGGCTGCCCGACGGCGCCCAGGTCGAAGGCGAGCACCTTGCGGCCCATGATGTCCTCGTGCCGCTCCATCTCCTGGAGTCGCACCAGAGCTACACGTCAAAACCCAACGGAGGACCGTCATTACGCTGCACTTATACTCGGCCGGAAGGAACAAAGCGAAGTTTCTATGAATTTGACCTGCTTCGAGCTTTCGTGAGGGTGTTTGTACTACAAAAGCGAGGCCGGAGAAAGGAGTTTCTGTGCGGATATATTTTCTAGTTATTTCCTTATAAATGCCACTCACCTCCTTGTGGAGACTGTGGCAGGGGGGGGGGGGGGGGGGGGGGGCAGGGTGCTAGTAAAATCTACTGCAGAAGAAGTTATACAAAAGTGTAAAGAAATGTAAATGCACAATAATATAAAGAAAGTGAACTCAAGTAATTGTCGAATTCAGTAACCTGGCGCTATGCATATGCAAACTTCGATTCCCCTAAACATAAAGAAACTCGAACAAAAATATTCAAAGTTATAATATCTATATGCTTTTCTTTCGCTTATCAAATAAAACGCCACAGTAATGTGCAACATTTTTCTCCTTGGGGGAGAGATAGGCTTCAGTCACACACGTTTAAAACGAACATTTTTCCGTGTTTTTTTATTCTTGAGATTACCTTGATTTGTTATGGCAAATTACATCATCGAAGCTTCCAAAAATGCGGCTTGAGGTAAGTTTAACCAGCAGACCTAAGCGACCATCTTCGGTATGGCGTTTTCAGTTCTAAAGTTTAAAGTACTGACTAGTAAGCTGTTTTCACCCTCGCTGAGTGCACGTGATATTAATCTGTGTATACAGCATTGCAAATATAAAAGGCTGAAACCAACAAATAAAAATCAATGTGCTTTGTTTTGTTTTTGAAGCATTGAAAGGAACCTTTCATTTAAAGACACGTTTGAATTCCACTCCTTCAGAGAAATACCTTCATATGAGCCTTTGCACTGTCATGTTAGGCGATTTAAACACTGTGATGATGATTCGTTCCTTTATCAATAAGCAAATAATCGAGATATTAGTGCTTATAACGCAAACGCACACACGCGCGCAAACACCCCCCCCCCCCCACACACACACACACATATATATGTATATATATATTGTGAGGGTGTTTTGGGGACAAAGAATAAGGAGGCGGAGACGACGGTTTGCCTAGCCAAGACTGAATCTATTCTGTGACGCGCGCGCAATCACGCCTCAGCACGCGCTGTCCCTCGAGCACTTCGGCACCCAAGTTGGCAGCGCTGGTCGCTTCACTTGGTCGCCACTATTTTTCTTTCTTAAACAACTCCACAGTTACCAAACGTATATTGCGCTTAGTCCACAAATACAATGATCTAATCGGCCGCGTAAAAATATCGGCATTACTGAGCAACCTTAAAACAAAGAAATAAAAATATTAACAAAACAAATGCAGCGTCTAAAGTAAACCTATTAAGCAGTGAACATCAATAAAATGTTATAAGGTTATTAAAAAGAAAAAACTAGTCAAGAACAACTTGCTTTTGTTCTTGTTTTGTTCAACAAGTTGTGAAGTACAAAATGTCTCACAAGCTTGTTATGAAATAGGTTGTAACAACCGCACTAAATATGACAGGATATTATGGACCAATACACTTTTAATCAAATAAGTAATCATAAAAAAGATAGATTGTTTTGTTTTGATGCAACGATTGCAGTATAGAGGGCAAAAAAGAAACTGAACGGCGTTTTAGTGGATGTCAAGGTCTTGACGCCTACAAGATGCGTCTGACGTGTTTCTGACGTCTGTTCACATCATAGGAAGCAGACACAAATTTATGTTTCTGATATGTCAGCACACTTTTCGAACCCTTGTCAGGTGTTGACGCACATCTGTTTTTAAGCTGTTCGGTTTGTGCATGGTGTTGTAGATAGTCATAAACGTCAACACTATACTTCCAGTTCTCAAACGTAAACTCTACGCTGTGTTCTGAAGCTCGGAGTATTGATAGGAAGAATATCTCGCGTAGAAATCTAAACAGCTATAAGATTTGCATTTTGCCCTAATCACAAAATTGGATAATAAATTAATATTATTCTAAGTTAAAGAGAGTTATAATTCCTTTGCTATTTTATTGCTTTTTAAATGAGTAAACGTTTGCTGGTTCCCGTAGATTTCGCTTGTAAACCTGAAAGCCATGCCTGTTCATAAAGTAAAAAGAAAGTAAAAAAAAAAGAAAATAAAAGGATACTTCAGAATAGATAGTCAACAATTCCGTGTCCTATTAAAAAATTTGATCTTAATTTAAACGCTGCTTTGTTTGCAGTAATCCCAGCAGTGTCTTTATGGAGTCAAGGACATTATGGTTTCACAATAGTCCAAGAGTCAATGACGTCATAAGAAACGCAAAGCGTAGGTTAATATATTTACGCGCCTTGCTTCGGAATTACATTTTCGGCGTTCTTACTGGGTGAGGCCGCGATGCCACTACATGGTTGGGGCCCACCAGGCTTTGCGTTCCTTAGGCTCCCAACTGATATAGAAGAAAGACATTCAAAGTACCGAATCGCACCTTGGTCGCCCTCGTAAACGTAGGCGAAGAAGAGCCAGCCCATGCGGTCGACGAATTCTCTGAACGCCTTTCCCAGCAGCTCGGGTCCAGGCACGAGCCCGAGCGAGAAGGGCCGCACGTCCAGGTCCTGGTGCCATGTAGTCTGGAGGTGCGGCACGTGCATGGCCGCGCAGATGGACGACACCAGCGAGTTCTCCGCCGTCGTGCTCGGCCCAAATACGATCACCGCGCCCTCTTCGATTCTGCTGCAAACTGCGGGTGACACAGGATTGAAGTGGTCGTAAAACAAGGCTGTTTGGTTTACAAAGAGTATACAATTATACTATAGTGAACTGTCAAGAATAAGGGAATTAAAATCAACTGAAGAGCGTGTTCGTAAAGTTGACTGACCACAGAAAGAATAAAACAAACTCGGGACGAAGGACGACCAACATTTCTTTCAAAGAAGTTTTCGTCGTCTTTCGTCCCGAGTTTGTTTTATTCTTTCAGTGGTCAGTGAACAGTGGAATACATACGAGTATATAGTCAATGATAGAAGCACACTAGCAAAAATACGAGCGGACTTGAACACTGTGTGACAATACAGGATGTTCGTGAGCCGTACACAGCCGTAAAAAAAAAAGAAAAAAAGTTTAAAGCTTTTTTAGGTTGGTTTTGTTACCCCCTCTATGAAACCAGATTGGAAAGCTTACAGAAATCAAAACAGTGCTTACAAACATAAAAAAGAAAGTTATTTTTTTCAACGGCAACTTTGAAAGCCAAATTTCGATCAGTATTGTATCCATTCTTATAATAAAGTATTTGATTACAAATGTAACTGTTCACGCCAAATAAGCTTTCTGGTCTAAATTGCTTTCCCACTTTCAGATTTGCTAAGACGCGGAAGAGACGGAGAAGCCGCGCGAGCGTTTTTTCGAACCATCAGTCTTGCTCCTGTTGCACGACATGTAACTTCAGCGCACGACGGCGATTCCCCAACGCCATAATAATGAACATGTCGGAACGTCCCACTCTTCCTGTATGGAACGCCATCCCGGTCGGATGGCGTCAACTCAGCAATCGGACCCGAGCCTCCTGCCGAGCGTCCTTCGACGCGTTCATTGGACACGGGGCCCGACCGAACGCTGACGCGGCACTCGTAGCCAATCCCTGTATTCGCTCGATCAAACCGTGACGACGTCAATATTTAAATACACAGACTTTGGTTATTCTAAGTGGTGTTGGTTTCCCACGCGCTCCGAGTCTTTCTAAATTTTACTAATTTAGGGGTGTTCGATGACGCTCAGAAAGTTTATAATTGGAATAAAAGGCTTATATCTTCGCTAATAAAAGATAGTTTACAAATTTTCGTTAATTAATTGACTTGTCGTGACCATTGGGCTCCTGTATTATGTCCCTCTGGCCGTATAGCTCGGCTGCATGGCCGCATTATTACAGATTTCACGACTTAAGAAAAAAAGAAAAAAAAGAAAATAAGTATGTAGTGTTTCTTTAGAACGAAACAAGCGAGATGGCAAACTTCAAACACTGTGAAAACCACAAACGCAAGAAGGTACCGGTCGAAGTGCGTAGTAAATTTACTTGTTGCGTTTGTTCAGCTTCGTGTTTTCGAAATGCTAAGAGTGGAGATTGTGTTGGATTTGATATCTGAAAGTTCATCTTTTTGCAAAAAAAGTGTACATTGGCACACAGCTTTTTTTTTTTTCTCGTAGATTTGAGGGGGGTATCAACCTGCATTTGATTGCGTCAGGCTGACCTTTATAGTCGCGAACAGCTTAAAGAGCCACTGACATGCTCCAAAAAATTATTTTTAGTTTTTGCCAGACGATTTATTATGATGTCCGAAGACTACCCAATCAATATTTTGGTGCAGAGTCGCGTATATTTTTAATAAAGCCAAAAAACCCAACTGCTCGGAACCGAAACACGAGCACGGAAGCTCATGGCCGGAAGTCTCATGGCTACACCCGACCGCGTTTATTTTTCCTCAGCTTCTCCGGCCTCTGAAGTAGACGACAACGACGAACTTGCGCGAACCGTTTGTCGCGCGATTATTTCGCGCATATATCCCTCCCGCTCAATGTTCTGCGCTTGACGATCGCTTGGCCGGTACAACGAACGACAATTCCAAAGTAGCGGCCCCACATCCGTCGGAACGTTGGACCGTCATGCGCCGCCATCGCGTCGTCCAGCCCGTGGTACGTCGCCATATTGCAAATGACGTGTACATGTACTTCCTGTGATCTGAGTAACATTTTTTTTTTCGACCAACTTATCTGCAGCTTTCTGGAGGACAAAAAAAAAAAAGGGTTCATATTCTTTTCTATTCTTAATACTGAATTTGTGTCTTAGATAATCCACTACCACGGTGTTGCCCACGACTTTGAATATTTTTGGTACACAATGTTTTAACGCCACGTGATAAAGGAAACGAGGGTGAGCGCGTCTGAAACAGGTCAATTTTCGACCAACTGTTTTCGGGCGAAAAAAAAAAACACAAAAAAACAAATTTCGAGCCACAAATTGTGTTCTGGGTTGTTGGGCTCTTAGATTCTAGTGAGTATTTGAAACTCACCTTTAATCAGTCCTTATCTCAAAGCTGCCTTCCATCTGACTGGAAGGCGGGAAGGTTTATCCCAGTGTTTAAACAGGGCAGCCGCTCTTCCGCATCTAAGTATCGCTCTATTTCTTTGACTTCCATTTCATGCAAACTACTTGAGAATATTCTCTACTCCAATATCACAAAGCACCTATCATCACATTTTTTTTAAACAACTGCACGGTTTTAAAAAGGGACTTTCCTGCGAAACAGAGCTCTGCGACTTCATTTATGATTTGCACACTAACCTTGAATGTCATGTCGAGACTGACGCAGTTTTTCTTGATTTTTCCAAAGCGTTCGACCGTGTCCCCCATCAACGCCTTCAAACTATCTTTGCCTCGACCAATTAACGTTTTCATGGATTCGTGACTTTCTTTTTTCCCGTGTACAGCTCACGTCCATTAATGGTCATGAATCTACCTTAAGAAATGTATCTTCTGGTGTTCCCCTTGGGCCCTTACTCTTTTTAATAATTATTAATGACATTCCCATTGGGGTTTCTTCAGACAATAAGCCTTTCTATATGATGATAAGTCATCTGTTACAAAGCAACTTGTGTGCAAAATAATAACCAGCTTCAGGAAGATCTAGATAAAATTAACAATTGGTGCAAAGAGTGGATGCTATCATTAAACAAGTCTAAATGCAAACTAATTCACTTCACCAGGAAAAAAACCACCTTGTCATTCAATTACTTCTTGGAGTCCGATCTGATTGAGACCGCTACTGTGTATAAATACCTTGATGTAAGACTAACATCTGACCTTTTCTTGAATAACCACATCAAAGCCGTTACTGCCGATTCATCTAGAACTCTTGGACTGTACTTCGTTTCAGCTTCGGTCCGAGCGCGGCCGATGTTATGAGCCGAAGAGCCAATGAAACAGCGAAACGGGCACAACGTCATGGCGTGATCTCTGCAGTTGATAGAACGAGCCGATATTCGCTGTGTCTCTGTGCGTGCTCCTCCGCCGGCTAGTCCTATCAGGCACATTGAGCACGCCATGACGCTGCACTTTTTGCGCTGTTTCATTGGCCCTTCGGCTCATAACATCGGCGCGCTCGGACCGAAGCTAAAACGAAGTATAATCAGACGTAGCTTAAAAAGCGCTCCACCCTTTTTCCGTAAACTGGCCTTTGACACGTACGTCAGACCAAACTAAGAATATGCTCCAACCATCTGGAATCCCCATCAACTGTACCTCATCAATACTCTAGAGGCAGCTCAGAACAGAGCTGCTCGCTTCATTTCATCCACTTATGACTTCTCTTTCAGTGTCTCAGCGCTAAAAACTCAACTAACCATGTCCTTTTCGCAGCTTCGTAGGAAAGTCTCTCAGCTGTGCCTTATTCATAAAATCTACTACCACATTCCCGACTTAAAAACCACTCTGTTATTACCCCCCTCCCTCCCCCCCCCACCGAACATCTTCTCGCCTCAACAACGTTTGCACCATCAAACGCATATCTGGTTCTACTAACGCTTTCAATCGGTCATTTATTCCTCAAACCATGCGACTGGAACAGCCTTCCATCTTCCATTGTCACCATCTTGAACCCTGCTGATTTCTCCTCTGCAGTAAAAGTACACCTTTCTTTTCATTAGCTTCAATTTTTGTATAATTTCTTCGAGTTCCTCGCTTGTATCATACTTGTGTTTTGGCATTTATATTGTTCAAATTCTGATTACGCCCCCCCCCCCCTTTATGTAACGCTCTTAACGGGCCCTTAAGGTAAAATAAATGAAGTGAAATGATATAAATGAAATAGGTCATGTTCCAATAAAAACCTCGGCAAGCATAAATGCCCTATCAGTGTCTTTTTAAGAACTTGAACAGCAGTGCTCCAGCGTTCATTATCACTAAGCGGCCTCTGAAATAACAGTATCATTCAATAGTTACGTTGAGGTATTATTGAACATCAATGTTTATATTAATTGAATAAGCCACAATATAAGGTTTCATTGGACCTCAATGTTTCTATTAATTCGGTGGAACCTCAATACAAGGTTCTATCGCACCTCAGTGTTTCTATTAATTCAACAGAACCTCGACACAATGTTCTATTAGACCCTAATGATCGAATTAGACAAATAGAACCCACTAGTGATCTGACAATGGTTACAGAGTTACTCGTATTATGTGACCACACGCAAGCTTAAAGCCCGGTTGATCTTACATTGTTATGTATAAGATAAGTTGGCCTCATCTAATTGAAACAGTTACAGTTACCGTCGTCGCACACACAAAAAATTAAAGACCACTTGAAATTTAACGCAAAACTTACCTTTATTGTACGTATCAAGCGCATTGTCTTGCCGAAGCATTTCGGTCTGGACGGATAGCCTGGAGTTGGGCAGTAGGGCAACATCCGTGTTGACGTGGTCCACTGCGTACTTTAGTGTGGTTTCCAGCAGCTGCTCCGCGGGAGTGAACAAGCCGACTAGTGGGAGAGAAACAAACGAGTAATTCACAATGGCCATGTTCTAGGACGTGCAAAGAACAATATTAAACATTCTGAGAGTTCACTTTCTTGAAGAACATCGAAACAGCCACTCACGGCGAACAATGCCAGGATCCCAGCCATTAACAAAGCTCAGAATACGATTATATCTAAGGAAATGCGGTGTGGGCAAGCAAGTTGTGATGCCCATTCTTTATGCGCACATCAAATTTGTTTGCTCTAATCGTTTTCGCGACTCCAACGAAATACAGGGTGCGCACTGGTCAGGCAAAATGGCTGACGAAAGGAGGTCGTTTTAGTAGTTAGCACGCGACCCACCATAAAGGTTTTGGCACTGTAGCGTAAAATTGGAGTTACATATGAAAGCAAAGCTCTTTTTCGTCAGTAAAAACGTACGTCTAGTCAATGCGTAGAAGTGACACGGCTGAAGCATAAAAATAACTACTGGAAACGATGTTTGTTTCTATGCTGCCTACGGGAACCAAGCAGCGATAACAGACGACAGAATCTCAACGAATTCCTCTCTTAAAGGGCAACTCCGCTTCATTTTTGATATTTAGAAAACTATGTAGCCCTCTTCAGTATCATATAGGAAGACCCCATGTCAAATATTACGATCTAATTCCGCTTATATATTTAATAAACTGGCCAGCAAACCTTCAAGCGAGCCAAGTCGCCGAAATCTGCCAACTCTAGCGTGCGGCGCGAGGCGCAATCACCAGCGCAGTCAATGCCACGGAGTTGGAGCGGCCAACGTTGAACCACTACGTCAGAGGCCTGCATACGTCATTCTCACGTTTTGTTTGTTTTTACTTCTCAGAGCGAAATTGAACAATGACGTCATGAGTTTCTCCTCCCGGTGTTGGCTGACCAAGCGTTCACGTGATCACCGTAACACGGATGCGCCTGGGATGCGCTGCCCTGCGCGCTTATCGGTCTGTTTTTCCGCTTCTTTTCTCCTCTTTCGTCTTCTCCCCTTCCCCCTCGCCCCCGAGCTATCACCGTCCACGCCGTGCGAAACGACCTGCACGGATCCAATAAAAAAAAAAAAAAAAAAAAAAAAAAAAAAAGACCTCGCTCGGTTTCTTGCTCCCTCCCGAACGTCACAAGACCACGTGGTTCAACGTGACGTGCCATGATAAGGAAAAAAATAAAACTTTCAGCCTTTTCACTTTGGTGAAGAAGGAAGACCAACAAAGCTGCACGCTTGTCCCGTGTGTTTCTTCTTCGTCCTCATCTGTTTTGTGCGCTTTTTTCTATGATGAATTCCCACCAACTCGCCCAAGTATCCATTCTTCTATGATAACTGGAAAGGTTGCCACCATCTATGAGCGAGGGCGGCAACCAGACTGGTTGTCTGGTTGCCGCCGCCACTCACAGATGACGGTAGCTGTCGAGAGTTTTGTGTAGTTTTTGTGTCGACATTGTTTGGTACCGGACATGAAACTGGGGAAACTAGCCCTTAACAGCTCTGCTGCAAAACTCTTGATTGTTTGGCTTAACTTGCGGTTGATGACTTCGGGACCCCAAGAAGACCTTGGGGGACCCGGAAAGGTCTGCAGACCCCCATTTGAGAACCACTCATCTAGATGTATATGTTGCCGGCATAAGACTAAAAAATTGCAGGAACCCAGAAGGTTGCAGTTATTTAAAAACGGCGGCATTGCTGGAGTGAATTTCACTGCTAGTTGATTATAACGCGAGAGTCAACTTCAGAGCGCAAAATTTTCTAAAAACACTCGCAGTGCATTCAAGCAAGTACAGTATATTCTGAGAAAAAAAATTTTTGACAAAATTGCTGCGGGGATTGTCGTTTGAATGCGATAGCATTTTGCGCCATCTTGTACTGTGTAAAAGTTTCTTGGTTAAACTGCCTGGGAACTGCTGTGAAAGCTCTTGGAGTATTTTTCGTCGATATGCATGGGGCCTTTTATCCCATTTAGAACCAGGTCACATACCGTATTTACTCACATAATTACCACACTTTTTTTTCCCGAAAAATTGACACATATTTGAGGGGGGGGGGGCATTCATTACGCGGGGTAAAACTTTTGCATTTACACACTTCGTGCAAATGTCATACTATTAGGTGCCAATGTGTCACGGCAAGGTACTGTGGCACGTCTGCACTGATGGAGGCGCACTCACGGCTGTTACAGGGGCTACCAGACACTCTCAACCTTCGACGCAGCTTGCACCTCGCTGCGCCATTCTGTTACAGATTAAATAAACGCGTTTATCCGGAGTATGTGAAATTAGGCCTAACCACTTTCACGATTTCACTGTCTGAAAGCGGACCACAGATGACGGCGTGTTTGTTGACATCAATGCCTCCGATAGGCGAAGAATGTCCGGGGCTGGGCAATTCTTCGGCCCAAGCTTCGTCAAATGTGCCCGACACTTGGTTTGACGGTTGATCACTTCTGCAACTACCTTAACTACAAACGCACTTGCAGCCATTGCAAGAGCGGCTTGGCTTGGTTAGGCTTGGCCTGACCGCTTGGCGGCAAAAGAAAATTGGCTTGGGGGCTAGCGCAAGGGGAAAAACAAAGTCCAAATATTGGTACCCGTTATGGGGGGTGCGTTCATTACGCAAGTGCGTTCATTATGGAGAAATGCGGGTCGAAAAACTGATTTTTTCGGAAAAGGTGATTTCGTGTTTTGTAGTGTTCTTTGAACCTTCCTTGTTTGCATATAAAAAAAATCAAGACCGAATATCATCGCGAAATATGTCAGTATGAGTTTGAAGCCCTTCTCGCGATGGAAAACAGCGCAAATCGGAACCATTTTCAAGCGCATCATTCTTTGGATCGCGGCGTTACCAGCCATCGCGTTTATTTCGGCACATAGGCCTAGCCGTTTTCACTCCAAACTGTCGTTGATAGTTTCGTATTCTGGTTGCAAATAATAATAAATAAATGTTTTTCCCTCTGCAAATGCGTGTCGCCACTGGACTTTTAAATCACGTGATGCGATTGTGGCCCCGTCATTGGCCGAGAGCAACATGTTGCGCGGCGAAATTGCTTGCGGTTTTAGCGTCGCATTGCTCTGGATACCAGAACCAACGACTTGTTCGATCATTCTGCTTTCTTCGTGATGAGCGTCGACCGGACACGCGACTTTCGAGCTCGGAAGTTTCGGACGACACTTCAAAGGGAGTCGCTAAAAGGGCAAGTGGAAAGCTTCACAGAAGAAAAGTTCATCCGCGGCAGCTAACCCTAACCTCGGTCGGGGCAACGTGGCGACGCTTCCGAGTCCGATCGCTCGAGTTTCATCGGCAGTGCTGACGAGTTTGTCAGTGTATCGGAAAAGAGGATGTTTGAAAATGGAGAGAGAGCTGCAGATGGGGGGGGGGGGGGGGGGGGGGGAGATCGGCGAGATCAGTTCGATGGAAGCTCTTGTCAGTGGCGCGGCATGCTCGACCTGCGGAAAGTGCAAACTCGCCGTCCAGGAATCGGCCGCTACGCGAAAGGCACTAGCATCTTTTCTGGAGCTGTGCTATGTAGCAGGGGAATTCTAGTTTGATGTTCCAGGCTCTGACACTTGGAACTATATTACCACCAAGTTTCGTGTGGTTTGAGTGAGAATATAGGTATGTCACATAAAACTGAACTTTCTTTTGCGTTTTTATCAAATTGGTATTTTTGCCTGTTTTCGGAGTTTGTGCACACAATTTTCACTATTTGTGGTTGCTGCGGCGCATCCAAATTTTGCACAGCTGTTCCTAGTGATGAGCATAGAGTGTGCAAATCTTGCTAGTTATGTGATTGGCACCACTGAATTTTTATAAGAGTTATAGAACTTAAAGTTAAGCATAAAAAGTGATGACTCAATAGTTTGCAATTTTTGTTTTCTCTCCACGCATAAATATTATTTTTTTTTCAGGTGGATTTGCACACTCTACTGTTCACAAGGAAGTAACCAGGCTATTTTAGGATGCTCTCTTATAAGTAAATTTGAGAAAAAAAGGTTGCTCAAAAAAGGCATTTTATATGCCTTCATACGTGCACAGATATTTCACCAAGGCAGGTATCAGAAAACTGACTACATATATGACAAGAGGAGCATATCTCCCCCCCCCCCCCCCCCCCTTATGCGAGTAAATACGATAATATTCTCATTTAACTGTCTACATCCTGCAAACGAGCCTTCTGCGACATACCAAAAATTTTTTGTTGAAGCATTACCGCAGTTCAACTGTTTCTCTCTTACTACATGTACATATAAACATGAAAGTTGGAGCTGCCCGCTTGCAAAACTTGCACGTTCTGCGACGACGGTTGGCAAAATAAATGTTATCACTTTTAATAACCACCGCTTCGTAAGTCACTTCTTGGCGCAGTGGCTGAGCATCAAGCTCACTTGGACATTCAGTTCCCCTTGTTGGACGTTCGGAATTTCGACCTACTCAGTTTATCCCCTTATCACTCTCCTGCACATCTGTTTTGTTGGTTAATTACAAAGGACAGACATGAAAGTGCAAAGGGTTCACTCATAAATGTGCATTTGCAAATGATAGGAGGGGAAAGGTGCCTAAGTGGAGAGATGGTTTCAACGAGCCGGCTCACAGTGCCCTTTTGATTGCTCAAGTGTGGCGACACCCGGGACAGTGTGTTGTTCCTCTTGATTGCGTGGGTGTGATGGGTCACTATTCCGAGGTCTTCCATTGCAGCCCTGCGAGAAGAACTGGATTCTCTGGAAGCAAAGTGCCAGGGCTACCTTGACAAGGTGATGTGCAATTTTATCTCAGACCTCGTGCTATGTCAAGGCGTCAGACATGGACAGCCACGTCATGCCGCTTGTAGCATAATTTTTTCGAAGGCAGAGGATATTTGCCTATGCAGACGGTATCTACAGCTAAAATTGATGTCTATGACAGTATGCACCTGTTCCTTTTTGGGCCAGAAAATTAAAGACACTGTCGGGTATTTGAAGTTTGTTGGAGCAACGCTGTACCGTAAAGTCCCGAAAGAACGCCT